GGCTGGAGGGAGGCCGCGCTAATCCCTCGCTCACTCTCCTCTCGCAGTCGATCTGCCTGAGTGCGGGGGGCGACGCGGCGCTTCTTCCAGACAGACAGACAGACAGACAACTTTTCACGGCGTTTGAACACCCAGCTCTCTGCACCGTTTCGCACTGTGTGGTACATTATTATTATCCATCCTCCTCGACTCAACGTTTATATTGCAGCTCCTGCTCATCTTACTTGAAGAGTACACTCAAAAAATTATATAAGTGCAACTGTGTCGAGTCTCCGGAGTCGTCAAGGATTCGATGGACCGTAGGTACGTACTTTTCTAATTATTAAAATTCTCAAATTGCACTTTCATATTGCACCTTCTTTAATTATGCTGCATGCCTTGTTTATTGCTTGTGTTATCATTCATACTGTATTTAAACGCACAGGTACAGGTATATACAAGCAATATGTACTAAAATACACAAATACTTGTACAAAACATAATACTTTGTGCAAGCATAAATCGTGCAATATAATATTATAATGTATACTATATAATACTAATATATAATAATGTATAATGTTTACACATATATTTAAATATACACCAGTATACAAACGCTCTTATAACAACAAGAACAACAACAATAACACTGCCACCACCACCCATCATCAACAACAGCAGCAAAAACAACCACAACAACCACAGCAACATGACAACAACTACAACAACAACAACAATAACATTAACAACAACAATATAATAACAACAATAACAACAATAACAACAACAACAACATAACAGCAGTATAACAACAACAACAACAACAACAACAACAACAACAACAACAACAACAACAACAACAACAACAAGAGCAACAATGTAGCAATGACGACGACAACAACATAACAACAACAACAACAACAACACAATAACAACAACAACAACAACAACAACAATACTAACGACAAAAGCTGTACAAGATAATTGCAGCAACACCCTCAACATACACGCTCTTTTTTGTTTCAAATTAATCTGGTGTTTTACGCCCTTACTGACATAATATAAATCACGAAGAGGATGGGCTTCGACACTGTCCATCAGGGCCAACTCTGGCTGAGAGGACCATAGCGTCTCGGCGGAAAGACGGAGATACCACTTACAGCTTTATTTTCCCCACGCAAGGATTGAACTCTAGTTTTCTGCCAGCGACAGCAAAATGCGTAACCGCTCTACCACAGACACCGGCATACTCGCTCTCTCAGACACAAAAACAACACACAAAGAGAAAAAAAGCAACAATGTGACAAAGAAGATAGCGTCAACTGAGACCCTTTTCAGTGAAAATAAATAAAGCCCCATAGCGTGAAGCAACAACAAAGCATAGAGTAGAGACTCGAACTATGGACTGTTCCCGCTCTCTATGAAAATCTTCGCTGTGAAGCGTTCGCACCATGACATGCACCAAATGAATGGCAAAACACCAGCCTTGCAATATAGTGGAGTGCACGCAGTACCTTTCCCCCGTTACCCCTCATTTGGTCCCAAACTGAGTCAAATGGCATCCTCTAAACTGAACCGGAATTAAGTCACCGTGCACAGACTATGAAATAATTTTATAATGCATGTCTTCTAGATCTATGTAACAAACAAGCAAAATCCCGACCAGTCCAGAGGCGTCGGTAACCTAGTGGTTAGGCTACCGGACTCGTAATCGTGAGATTGCGAGTTCGGGGGTTCGAGCCTCAGCTCGGTCCGACGTTGTGTCCTTGGGAAAGGCACTTTACACGAACTTCCCACTTGGCT